TGGGTGCAGCCATCAAGCCAGTTCTTTGGTCCCCATAAAAGCATAAAATGCATGTCTAAAGATAGATGAATGATTTGCAAAATGTAGCAGCTCATGTAACACAAAAAGCAGTTGGCTTGACTGAATAGACAACTGGTTTCCTTTAAAACAATCAGAGAGGGGTGAAAAATACTTGGCTCATCCTACAAGAGCCACTCCATCCTGCTCTTCCATCCTGAAGTCAAAGTAAGACCTTCAGTGGTGAAATCCTCCCACAAGCCCGAAGTGATACGAGAAGGCTTTGCTGGCTGACTGCTGAATGCCTGGGAAGGCAGGGCTCGGAGAACAGATGTGAAGGAGCACTTGTCACCATTTTGTTGCTGTTTCGGTTTTCTCAGTCAAAAGATTTTTTAGAATCATAGAATTGTTTCAGTTGGAAAAGACCTTTAAGATCGTCGAGTCCACCATTTACCCAACACTACCAAGTCCACCATTAAACCGTATCCCAAAGCACTTCATCTGTACATCTTGTAAATACCTCCAAGGAAGGTGACTCCACCACATTTGAGGAGAAAAGACAAATAACAGCCTCAGCTCTAATTTCAGCTTTATCTCTGGGTTCAATCTGCCCAAAACAGTCCTCATACTCGTATCTGGCATTTGTTTCTTCAACTCATCAATGAACATTTTTATTGACAATATCAGCACAGCCACAACTCATTTACCTGTGAGGTCATCATTGGGCCAGGAGCCAAGCTGGCAGGCTTTGCATGTGTATTCATCAAATACATATTCATTCTCTTTACAAGGAGTACAGGTCCAACAGCAACTCACTTCTCCTTTGCGAATCACCTGAGAGAAAAATTGACATTTGGTTTAGCAGCATAAATGTACATTTGTACTGCCCCATGTGTTAATTTAATTTTTTATGTCTTTTTTTTCAAAGAATTTTTTTAAAATTATCTTAAAGGGAGTTTCTTCTCATAATATGTTTGCTTATACAAAATATGACAGAAGTTCTCAGTTCTCCCATCACATATGTACCAGAAGAAAGATAACATCAATCCCATAGAAGTATAAGTAGAGGTATAGAATGACAATAAGACGTCTTTTCCTCTCTTAGAATTAGCAAAACTCAAAATTTCATAGATGTCAATGTGCCTATAGAAGCCAGTGCAAGATACTCAAGACATATAATTCACTCCATTTTGTTCCATACAGAGAGTCATGTCAACAGGGTTATTTCCCTAAGGGTTCATTACAAAAAGATTTTTGGGTGCTTATATTTCATCCAGCTGTGAATGATTTGTTAAAACAGATTTTTTTCCAGACATCAAACTGAACATGCCTTTTCCGGAATTAATTAATGACTGCATTTCTAATTAACATTGAAGAGTGAGAATGTAATCTTTATCAATTTTAACATCTGACCTGATTTCCCATTTTACAATTTACTGCTAAATGTTATTGCACACTCATGATTGAGATGCAGATTTTCAAGATCCTTATTTATCATCTCTGGGCACTGAAAACATCTGTGCTTCTTGTCAGTATGTCTTTCTTTTGAAATAAAGTATCCCTATTTTCTCTGCTTTTCTCAAACAATTTATAAATGAGTACTCCCAATTATACTATAAGAAGTAGGTTGACTTATGTATCTTTTGCTATGGTAAATTTAGAAGGTGGCTTCAAAAACCAAGTGTCTATTGCAATTTTAATAAACAAAATGCTAAACAGTAATTAAAAAGAAATGGATTGCTTTTTGCAATGCTGCAGTGAAAAACAGTGTAAACTATATAATTTTCATCAGCAATTTCAATATTTCAATCAGCACTTGCAAAGTTCAAATTTTTATTTTGTTTTTAAAACTGTTGTGTATGAAAAGAAAAAAAAGCCACACACCTGAATATCTAAACTGTCAGAAAGGCCATGGGAGTGTAAGTGATTTGCCCTGCAAGTGTTGAGACCAGAACTACATGCAAAACAGAATATCTGTCCACCAGAAGAATTCAGATCTTGGGATTTCTTTCCTTTTAAACTGGAATGAAAAGTTGAACAAATACAAAATTTCTTCTGTCTGAGAAAATAAATTCTTTGAAAGCTTGTACTAATATTTAGACAATATTTTTTAGACAATATTCTTTCTCTGCAATTTAAAAAAGTTGTTCTCCTCTACTTAGAATCAGTTTAGACTTTCTTGCATTAAATTGCTTAGTCAACTATTTCTTCATCCTTTTATTTTTCATTTCTTCAACAAGTGCTGTAGCACTTCACTGTAAAACAATATTTTCTGTTTCTTTTAAGAAAAATATTTCTTTTTAAAACAAAAAATATTTTCATTCCCATTTGTAATCTGGGCAATGCTCTGAACAAGTATTTATTTAAATAATCACGTCTGCACAATTTGAAGTTTATAGAGTTGGCTTGTGTTTGGATTTCATCCAGTCCTTCATATGAATTACCAAATGTTACTGAGTGTTGGATAATATTATTATAGTGAATGTTTCAAATTCCTGCATAATAACTCAGTCCCACAGAATTCTGCAGGAAAACCACCACAGTGATTGGCAGGTTCAATCTCTCCCTGTATCTAGTGAAGATAAAGACTGTGAGTAAACGTTGAGATTTATAAGCATGAAGAATATTTCAAACACTGGACTTCAAGCATGTGTCTAGGTGTGTAATGAATTGGTTTGGGAGAATCCTTGAGAGTATGGGCGGAAGGTAGAAGGAGACCATGCCACCATGAGATATTTCCCATCATCTGTGTTGTGGCAACAGATCACAGAGCCACCCAGGTCTGAAGATATTGTTTTTTTTGTCCATCCCTATCCTCTCATGTCTGACTGTTCTGGCTGGGTGCCTTTCACCATTAATGAAGAGAAAAAAGTGTTTCTAGGCCAAGATTCATCTTACCTCTGGATCTGGAATAATATATTATTTCCATTGACTATAAATAAAATTCAGAAATCTGATATAACTGTATATGCCTATACTGAAGGCATATATATTTGGTCTGATGAAACTAATTTACTGATTACCCAAGACAAATTAGTGGATAAATCAAGGTGACTGTCCAAAAATTCTGGAAAACTTGGACTAAAGAGATTCACATTGTTTTGCAGAGCATGGTCAGCCTCTCATTAACCCCCCCGCTTTAGCTGATTCCCAGTTTTACAAGTGTGCCACGTTAATACAGGAGAGAAGTGATTCACCTTCCAGTGAGACATATCAGAAATTACAACTGGTTTCTCTCAGTCTGAGCCACTCTTTTGTCTTTGCCTATCCGCTCAGTCCACAGGCTTTTACATAAATGACTGCAAGGTAAGCTAAGGACTTGCAACATTTTAACAGTTCTGCAGTGTCATGGGATGCTGAAGGATAATAGAGTACAATTAATATCTGGCAGATTTATCTACCTTCCTTATTTACTGCAACATGGAAAGAGAAGAAGGGAAAATCAAAAACCTGTGAAACAAAGAAGCAGTAAATCATGTACGATGGAAAAAAATGTTACCAACATTTCCTGTAGTTATAAGTAGTAGTAGTAGCTGTTGACTTAAGGTCTGAATAATGTTATTCCAGTCTAAGTGTCTATGTCTAGCACGGAAATACTAGCAATTATTATTTATAATTTACTTGCAATTGTACTCACAGGTTCTAGTCAGGGCTTTGCACTCCACTGAATCAGATGCTGTAAAAATATGCAACAAAAAATCCCCCCCCTCCCCCAATACCCATTCTAGAGCATTTGGAAGTATAGAAAATGTCAGAGGTTCACAAATATGGGAGTATGAGAAAATGACAATTTATTAAAATAGTGAGGTAACTATGATATAACCAAGAACTAAATATGTAAGTCTGTACATTTTAACTAAGATGTGGGACACTGTCTCCATGTAAGAGTCAAGAAAAATTTGCTTTTGAATTTCAAGGCTATGTGTTCTACACAACTGAGGTAAATGGAGAAAGTATTTACCTTTATCTGGCCTTTTTCACAGGGTTCACTGCACACAGATCTGATGATATTATTTTTCTCTGACCATATTTCATCATCGTCCATTTTCAGCTCACCATTGTCCCAACTGCCAACATTGATATAATCAAAGTAGTCCTTCCCCATTTTCTTAAAATTCATTATTTCATATCTTTGGAAACACAAAGGGAAGACATAGTTGAGTTGAGGTGAACATAATGAAATGTTTAAAATTAGAAGAACATTATACAGTCAAAATCAAGATTGTTGAAATAAGGCAAAATTTCAAGCATTATGCTTGTACTTCAGTCACTCCCAATAATTTTGTTGATCTCATAATATTTCCTTGCTTTGTATTTTAATTTATTTTCTTCTATCACGATGAAAATTCCCTGAACACTTCAGGGTTAAGTGACTGACTGAGCTTCAGAGAATGTCTGTATTTATTTAAGGAAAACCAATTAAATGAGCCAGACAGGATTCACACCGTTTAACTTCCAGCTCTGAAGCCAATGGCACAGGGAACCTTAGCTTCCCTAGGTGCCCTCTGTAGCAGATGCAGAGAAATCAAAACCTATAACTGCTATTCCCAATGCTAAGTGTTCCTCAGTGTCTGCAGGTGCTTGTTCCCCTCCTGGGAGAGGAAGCCTGAAGACAGCAAAGCTCCTAAAGTTAGGCAGAAGCAAGCTCGGCCTGTAGGATCAAAAGACACTTCCTGTGCTGTCGGCCTGTGAGATGCAATTTACTGTGGCACACAGAGAGGAATCAGGCATCATTCTTCAGACACAGACTCCAGGACCCTGGGAGGCTGGAGGCTTGAGGGAGACCTTACCAAGAGGCACCTTGTAGTCCAGGCATTTGAAGAATGAAGTTGAGACTTGCCTTTTTTTCCCCTTTTTTTTTCATTTGCAGCAGCAAATGCCATTCTCTCCCATCCATACAACGCCTTTCACTTTTATATAATTCCTCAGAAACCAGAAGATATTTAATTTCTTGTATAGTATGGTTTGAAAGAGAAAGTGTAATCATGCCTCAGTCATAGACTACTTTTGGGTCAGATCCCCTGGTTATCACAGAATCACAGAATGCTAGGGATTAGAAGATTAGAAGACCTCAAAGATCATCTAGTTCAGCCCCCCTGCCAGAGCAGGACCCCCTACAATAGATCGCACAGGAACGCAAGAGTGCTAAAAGCAGACCTACTTTCTTTTTAGCTCCCATTGAGTCTTGCATAAAATCTGCAGAGCAGCAAAGGACTCACTAGCTTTCTACTGGCATGCTTAACACCAGGCCACCATTCTGCCTTACAGGTCAGTTCTTTCAGCACGCACTTGTAAGGAAAGCACTTACATGCTTGGGAAGTTGGGCAACTCCTGAAGTGAGGATGTCATGCTTTACCTCCTCTTTAGTGGATTTTGCAGTAGTCTGACTAAGCAACATAAAATTTACTGATGAAAAATAAGCAAACGATATAGACTGAAAAGATTAACACAATCATATGTTTAGAAAACCCCCCTGGTTCATAAATGAGGGGACGACTTTTTCCTGGCAGCAGAAACAAAATTAGTCCCCAAGGCAAAGCATATAGATAGGTTTGAATTAAAAGTGATTATCAGAGTGTAATTTGTCAAGTCAAATGTGCAGGTCAGTAAAAGAACCAGCTCATTAAATCAATCTCTTAACTCAGATACCCAAGTATCTCTGTGAAGTTTCAAGGAAACGCTTTTAGAATGGACATGCCATAACCATACTATACCTAACATCAATATTTTTCTCATGCTTACATAAAATTATACTGTAAAATTATTCTGTAGTATTCTCCATCCATGAATCTCAGGATGCTTTAAATCAGGAAACAAAGTTTAACTGTCCAGTGGGGAAATTATGGCAGCGATTCAATGCCAAAACTCACACACAGATCAGGATCAGCACTGCACGCAGCTTGTGAAGCAAATATGCAAGTGGAGACTGACTAAATGGGCAATGTGATATTACCCATGTCCTGTGATTCTTGAGTCTTTCCAAAAGAATAAGTGAGCAACAATACAGGAAGAAAAACAAACAAACTCCTAGATTTTTGAATACTTCACTTCCTATCCTGTTAAAGCTGTCAATTCAGAGTTTCATGGGCAGAGAGATGGAAGTATTGCCAATGTTTAACAGGGCACAGGACCTAAAACCTAAAAAGGTAGTTCCACGCATACATCCCAAGGAAAGAAACCTACCAAAATAAATAAGCTATTGTCTCAATATGATGTGCACTCTTCTTTATAGAAAATAGCATTGGTAATAGCCAGACTCAGTAAGCCCATTGCTATAGTGAAGGTTCATGAGTCACTAGTTCCCTGGAGATTCCTTGAGATACCACAGGCACAGTTTTTCACTTTAGGATAGAAGATACCAGATGGTGCAATAGCACTTTTCCAGCAGTGCCCCAATCACAGTGAAAAACACTTGTTTCAAAACAGAAGTGCCATAAAGTTTCTGAGAATACATATTCACTTGGTAGCAGAGCCAAAGCATCAGCATCTGTTTTTTCTTGTCTTTTCTGTCTTCTCATTTTCTTCTTTAGAGTTTTTATGGTATTTACAGATAGTTATCTTCCTGAGAAATCGTGTCTATTCCTTCCATACTCATTTGTTTTTTTCCATGTCTCTCTGTCTCACCTAAAACAAGCCCTCCAGTAGACTGCCTTATCTGCCTAAAGCTCAACATACGCAAAAAGGACTTTGGAGTAGGGCCAGGATTCAAAGCGTCTTGTGAGATTAATCATCTGTTGTATAATATCAAACCCCTTTTGCTATATATCAAAATCCTGAGCTATTTAGGTCAGAAAGGCTTTTTATGTTCTGTTGCTTAACACCACCACCACAGTACAGCTGTAAGGATTTAAATTTCCATTTTACAAAGTGAAGATGCAGCTATCAATGCAAGTGAACAGAGATGAGTTGTTCCAGTATGACTGCACCATCTCGCAGCTGTTGCAAATAGTGTTTGACAGTGCTGAAAAGGCTCTGAACTACTCAAAACATGGGTGTTAGGGCTTCTTCTAAAGCCTTCTTAATTACGAAAAAGTAAATTTTCACACGATGTTGGTTAAGTTAAGCACTTAGGCTGGATTTAATGATGTGACTATTGTAGAAGAGGGAACAGAGAACTACTATTCAAAAATAAACAGACTCTGGGGCCATTTTGTGACCACACGTGGTCCATTAGTTTGAGTGGGCAAAGGGTTATTCTATCTCACACAAATCCAGTGAGGCTGGACTCCCTTAAAGTTGCATTACCCTGAGATGCGCAATGAACATGGTGGCCCCATGCTCTTCAAAGAAACACTCATGTCCTGCTGTGACTGAACAGATGACCACACATGACATAATTCCTCCATTATCTTTCCTAGAACTGAATTTAAAAAGACTCAAGACATTTGATTAAACTCATTGCAACAAATGGAATTAAATCATTGTTAATCATGGCAGTGTATGGGCAAGGTAAAGCTAAAGGTCTCTTTGCAACATTTAGATATTGTCATTGTTATTGTAATGCCACATACCATTTATTTGTGGCAGTCTTCAGTCTTCCTGCAAGAAATGAGTGAAATGGATAGGAATAAGGTAGGATGCAGTCCACTGCATCTAAGCACCATTAAAACCAAGTGAAAATCCTTTAAGAGAAGTCTGAGATCAGTCTTCTAAAAAGAATTTGGTCAGAAAAATCCAGACCAAGCACTTTTCTTCAGAATTCAGCTATTTATAAAAATAGAGATGTTTAGTGGAAGACAGCATTGCTCACCAAAACAGTGCTGAAAATGAATTCCCATCTGAAATTTTCCTGGGTTTCTGCCAGTTTGTGTCTGAATTCTCCTACCAGCTCACAGTGCACTTCCTCAGAGTCTGTGTCTGAAGAGTCTGAAAATTTGTGTCTCCAGAGACACAAACAGATTGCTTTGTAGGTGGTTGTCCTGCTCTCTTTTGTGAAGAATGCTGACTTCACAGGTTTTCAAATAAAATGAAAAAAAAAAAAAAAACACCCTCAGTCTGAAATTTCAGAAATTTTTGGAAATGTCAAAATACTCTTACCAATGGATTTACCTTTTCTTTTCTAGCTCTACTTGGAAGTTAATGATTGCTTTTTGGTTCACATTAGTGGGAGAAGACAAAATGTAAATTATTGCACAGGATGAGCAATTTCCCCTCTAGCCATATGTTTATGTAGTGCCATCACAAAAATGTTTGAAAGCTTCCCAATAATGTAGACAGAAAAGGCCATCTCAATCAAAGTGGAGCAAAAGCAGTGAATGAGGCAGAAATCTACTCACTGAAATACAGGGAAAAAAATATACTTTGCATTTTAGTACATTTGTTATTCACCTTCTGACAGTTCAGTAGGCAGAGACACAGAAGAAAACTTCAGTACTCTTTTTATTTTGAATTTATATGAATATTTCATATATGCCACAGAAGAAGAATAATTTGGTCTATATTTCATATATATATATATATATATATATGTATGTAAGTTATCAGCCAAAGAAGCTTTGTTTAAATTCTATTTGGCTTATAGCAGCACAATGTGAATTAATAGCTTAGTCTGTTATGCAAGTGAAAAGGCTTTATTTAGAAGTTACAGAAGCAGATTTTTAATAATTCTGATGGAAAAAAATAATTCCCAGACAAATCATCGCAATATTTCTGATATTGTTTTACCTTTCTTAAAAAAAGAATTATGTCTGCTCTGATTGCTTCTTGCTCAATTAAATAGATACATTTAAATACCCAAAGAGAAAGAGCAATGCTATGGTGGCCGTCGTGATCTAAGAATACAAATTTGAAGGACTGATGGTTTGTAGTGAGAAATAATACCACTAAATGGTGCAGATGAAAATGTAAATTCATACAGGAAGATTGCATGCCTGCAAATCATGTATTTAGCCTTAAACATCATAAAAAGTGCAAATTTAAAAAAACCCAAACAGTTATTTTGGAAAAACAAGCACAAGTCAGGAAATGTGGAAATAAAAGTACAAGATTTTAGCTCTGATTGCAAGTCTGCAACTATCTGCTACATACATGGTTAGCATGTATGGTGTTAAACAGTTTGACAAGTGTCAACGTTACCTTCCTGGTGAGTCGCCGTTCTCATCAAACAAGATCATGTCCCCAGAAACCCCAGTAAAGTTGGTCTTCATGAGGGATTCCAGGAGCTTCCGACCATCTATGGGTCTCATGGCATCACAGAGGCCCACGTAACCCGGGCACAGAGACATCTGCATGTTGTGGAGGCCGTATGCCATCGAGTATATGGCATTGATCACAAAGCCCATTTTGGAGTCCTGAACGTGCTGCGTCCTCAGAGTCATCTGGCCTGCCGGGGAACATCACAAAGTGGTTAGTTAGGGCATGGGGCTGAGCTATGTTTAGCTCTTCAGACAGCTGTTGGTAGGATGGTTATTAATGGTGGAAAGAGTCTTTTTTAAGTGTCTTAGATGCTCTCACTGGTACACACAGTTAACATGTTAAAAAAACCCAAAAGGTTTGAAAGAAGTATTTTGATATCCAGCTGATGCCTTTCTCTGTGCAGGTCCACATCTCACATACGTTATTTTTCAAATGCCTCTCTTCTGTGTGTTTTTAAAGCATGTGTCATGAACATTATAACACAATTTTTTGAGGAATCCAGAAACTTCTTCCTGTCTACAGCAGTCTCTCCAAATCCTCAGAAGTCATTTGCTGAGGTGTAAATGCTAACATGGGGGCTGTTCTGTAGTGACCTTGTGGGACAAGGCTTGTTTCAGAGACGTGAGAACCAGTCCTGTGCAAACAGACAGACCTAAGCACAACTCCTTTACCCAAAGTTCCTGCACTAGTGACTCTCCTACTTCTATCTCTCTTGCTGCTCTCTGTGATGTGTGTATGATGTGAAGATAATGATGCAATGCAGATGAATGCATTAAAATGTCTGTGAAGTGTTTGAGGATGCAGGTCAGGCAATGACTGTTTAGCCAGAAATGGTTAACCTTACTTTGTTTTGCTTTTAAAACATCTGGATTCTTTTCATTTTTTCTTAAAGCTGCGAAATGCACAATTAAAATTCATTCAGCAGCACCCTGAAGGCCTTTTTCTTTGCAACCCAGTGTTATTAATGACACAGATTCACTGTGTTGACACTGTGTCCAGCTAATGAAGAGTAGGCTGGAGGTTTTCTACCTCATACACCATCAGCAAAGCTGCCAGCTGCACTGCAGCCACCAGATCTTTAATACATGGGGGAAGTGAGAAGAGTCAGAGATAAAGCAATTACATCAATGGTGCAGGGAATTTGTCATACACACAGAAAGATTTGTCTCTGGAAGGAGGACAAAGAGCCGTACTAGAACATTTGTTCTCCTTTTATCAGTCAAGCAGCAATCCTTAGGAGCTAGGAAGTCCTGTGTGTGGTCAGCCAGAAGGTTTGCATGCAGTCTGATATCTAAGTACCTTTTATGGAGTTGAGTAAGAATCTCCAGCTAGTGATTGATCCCATCATGAAATAGATGCTCACAATACAAGCTTATCTTTTCAGTAGTGAACAAGAATATCAGCAGGCAGTTCTAATCCCTAAAACATTTTTGAGTACTGAAAACATCAGGAAAGGTAGCAAAGCTACATAGTTGGAACTGAAAATCGTCTATTGGTCAGTAAGTCAATGAGAGGACTGAGAGATCCCTTTCTCCCTTCTGTTTCATACAGGGGCTGACACTCCCAGTTCCAGTCAGCCTCAGGAACAGTGATTAAAATTTTGGATAGTTAAGTGATATGAGCTTAAAATATCTGTAATAGAAAAAAAAAAAAATTAGAAACAGCACATGCTATTGCTCATTTGTTCTGTTCTATCAAGGTATTGTTTGACTTTTTTTTTTGTCAGTTTGTTTTGGTTTGTTTTGTTTTGTTTTTCCTAATTAAAAATAATAAGCATAAAATCTGCAACAGTGGAGTACATGTAAAACCCATATTAATTTAAATTAAGTGGAAAATTGAACAAGCATATTACATTGCAATACACAAAACATGATTTAACCAATTATTCATCCACAAAATTAACAGCTCACAAACCATGCAGTTAATTATAGTAGCCATTAGAATGAATCAGATTTGCATCAGCAGTAGTATTTATTATGAAACAATATTTCAGCTGCTTTATTACATACCATTGCTTAAAAATATAATAACTTAATTCTTACAGGAACAGTCTCCACGGAGCTTTGTGCTTCAGTTTTATAGAATCATTATTCTGACTTTCCTTAACTGTTGAACATCATTCAGTACACCTGATGATCTGTAATAGCTCTTCATAGAAACTTCTGGCAATTGTCAATGGAATTGTGAAGAATTAGCTGTTTTGACAATTTTAATATATTTCCTGCAGCTGGAGAAAGTATTTCCCCAGGATGTTAACTGCTTCACTTTTCAATATAGGGGTAAATCCAATCTGCCAAGTCTGACTGTTGGTTTACAGTACCTCATGACTTCATAGTTAAGGGGAACATCTCAAAAACTGAGACAAAAGAAAATTCTGGGTCTTTAATATACCATAATACAGTCTTAAAAAAATAAAGGCAACGTCAAAAAAATAGTTAAGTCTGAAAGTGGTTTTCCACCCATTTCATAAAGAATTTAGGCACATCAGACTTGAAGCTTGAAAGTAATCCCATTTAAGTCAGGGATCTTGCAAGTGGTCTTAAGGAAAGGCTGGATACACAAACTAAAAGTTAGTCTCTCAGTCTGAAAAAATGCACCTAATGCACCACAACTGCAGATGGGTGTTCAATCCCTACGACCAGGCTACAGCCAGTTTAGAGTACACCTACACCAAGCTGTAAAACTTTCTTGGCCCACAGGTTGCAGTCAGACTCAGCAACCTCCCAGGATGCTGCAGGCAGCAGGCGTTGGAGGTACAGAGGTGACAATGTGCATGGGCCATGGACAAAACTGCTTTGATAGGTCTCCAGTAAATTCTTACTGCAATTTTGGCAGGCTTAAGTATCTTTTCTGTGGTAGGACCAAGCAAGTTTTTCAGAACATAGCTCATTTTCCCACATTGTTTGGAATAATATCAACCTTTTTATGAACCTATGCTCAATTTGGTTATTATGTCCAAAAGATTATAGAAGGCAATCTGTACTGTGGTACCTCAGAACTAATAAATATTAACAGTGTATCATGATAATTACTGCAGAAATAAAAAATTCCACCTCCTGTAACTGAGATGTGCAAGGCAATGTAAGAACACAGAGTGAATCAAATCATACATTATGAGTGAAGTGGGACAGTACTGGCAATCATATAGGACCAAATATTGTGGAATGCTCTGAAGAACAAGGGGATATCTGTGGTTAGAGGACATGCATGAATACCACAATTCTGTCCTCTTTATTCTCTCTTTCTTGTCCAAATAATTTTGGTAAGTAAATAAGGGCTTATCCTATTATTTTCCAATCAGCAAGATCATGAGTGTCGCGGTTTGGGTTCGCAGTTCCAGATTCAA